AAATACATTTTTGACAAATAATTACAAAATAATTTTTGGCACAGTTTAGCTTTGCACAACTAGATTAAAACAAGTCCTTTTTGAAGCTTGAAAGTTTTGGACTCCATTGACTTTCACCGTGTTGATCAAAACAGCAGAAACATTCTTCAAAACATCTTATTTTTAATGTGCTGTAGGAAGAACAAAGCCATACAAGTTTGGAACATCATAAGGGCAAGTCAATTATAACAACTTTCATTTTTGAGTGCACTATCCCGTTAAGAAGTACTTAAAAAGTATAGAAATATTTTAGAAAATCACTTTATTGTAATCAAACAATGCCTTTCTTCTGTGTATGTACCCAACTGACCTCATCAGATCCATCTGAACAGTCATTTTGTCCGTCACAGCGTTGACCAGCCGACACGCAACCTCCTCCAACACAAACATACTCGTTCTGAGCACAAGACGTCGGCCGAGCTGCGCAGACACAAGGAATTCGCAAAATAAAGTCAAGACAAGAAATCTTAAGTCAAATAATCCTATAATAAGACGCATCAATCTACATGTCCTGGGACTCCACGTGACTCCCTGCTGTAGATCGCTGCGGTCTGAAATAAACCGAGCTACAGTTCGGTCAGCGAGAGGTTGCGAGAGATTTCTGGCTGCACTTTTTGAAGTATTTTCAGCCACATTAATATTAATCATAGGGTAAAATTTCCCCGGCTTGCCTTGAGTCACAGGGAAGAACCGAAAAAATGGAAAGGGAGTGTGAGAGCTTTCTGAATGCATCTCCAGTGGTCTTACGATCAGAATAAATCACTGGGCGTTGCAGGCGTGGATGGACTCAGGTACTCTGTGCACAGCACACAATGCTGAAATATTCAAGACGATGGCCAAGAAAGATGGCATGGAGACCTCAATTAAAAAAAAAAAAGAAAGGGAGATACACTTCAAGTCTCTTGGGGTTAAAGTAACAGATGAAGCTGAGGTTCGGAACATGCATTATTCTGAGTTCTTGAGTGTTCTTGGGTGCTTTAGATAAAAGTTGAAAAACAAATCAATATATTATGCAATATAATATAAACATGATCATTTTTAGTATGTATACATATTTATATATACTGTATATACATATATATACACATGTATATATATATATATATATATATATATATATATATATATATATATACACATACATACATACATACATACACACACAGATTAAGTTGAAAATATGTATGATTTAATAATAGTAATTTTAAGAATATAATAAAAAATATATAATATATAATATAAAAAATATAATAATAATTATTATTATTATTATTAAAATGTATATAATGTTAAATAATATGTAATGTAATGATTTGAAGTTTATAGTAATCATTTCAATGTAAATAATACAAATTGTTACAATTTAATTAATTAAAATTAATTTCATTATGATTCATGAAAAATAGTATTTTATAATTATTACATAAAATTGTGTGTGTATATATATATATATATATATATACAGTGGGTACGGAAAGTATTCAGACCCCCTTAAATTTTTCACTCTTTGTTATATTGCACCATCTTGGAGTCCTCCATGCGGGCTTTCATGTGTCTTGCACTGAGGAGAGGCTTCCGTCGGGCCACTCTGCCATAAAGCCCCGACTGGTGGAGGGCTGCAGTGATGGTTGACTTTCTACAACTTTCTCCCATCTCCCGACTGCATCTCTGGAGCTCAGCCACAGTGATCTTTGGGTTCTTCTTTACCTCTCTCATCAAGGCTCTTCTCCCCCGATAGCTCAGTTTGGCCGGATGGCCAGCTCTAGGAAGGGGTCTGGTGGTCCCAAACGTCTTCCATTTAAGGATTATGGAGGCCACTGTGCTCTTAGGAACCTTAAGTGCAGCAGAATTTTTTTTGTAACCTTGGCCAGATCTGTGCTTTGCCACAATTCTGTCTCTGAGCTCTTCAGGCAGTTTCTTTGACCTCATGATTCTCATTTGCTCAGACTTGCACTGTGAGCTGTAAGGTCTTATATAGATAGGTGTGTGGCTTTCCTAATCAAGTTCAATCAGTATAATCAAACACAGCTGGACTCAAATTAAGGTGTAGAACCATCTCAAGGATGCTCAGAAGAAATGGACAGCACCTGAGTTAAATATTTGAGTGTCACAGCAAAGGGTCTGAATACTTAGGACCATGTGATATTTCAGTTTTTCTTTTTTAATAAATCTGCAAAAATGTCAACAATTCTGTGTTTTTCTGTCAATATGGGGTGCTGTGTGTACATTAATGAGGAAAAAAACTTAACTTGAATGATTTTAGCAAATGGCTGCAATATTGTTAAGAGTGAAAATTTTAAGGGGGTCTGAATACTTTCCGTACCCACTGTATATATATACTGTATGTGTGTGTGAATTATACAGTACCCTCCATAAGTAGAGACAAAATTGCCCTGCTTCCTGTGGAGTCAAGACATTTGCAAATATGATTAAAAGATGAATATGAGACAAAACTACAGAATGTCACATTTTTTTATTAGCTGTTTCAACACCAAATAAAAAGGACAGTCCTTTTAGAGTTCATCCCACTATCTGATGTGAGCATAAGTATTGGGACAGTTGAACTTAAGGCAGATGTAAAAGATTAGAAGCTATTATTTAGTTGCAGATCTCTTGTGTGCAATCAGAGCAGCGAGTCTGCGACCCACAGACATCACCAGACTCTAGGTCTTATCCTTTGAAATGCTTTTTTTCCAGCCTTTAATGCAGCCAATTCCAACTGTTGCTTGTTTTGGGAGTTTCTGTCTTTAGCCTCCTCTTCAGACGGTGAAATTCATGTTCAATCGGATTTAAATCTGCAGATTGATTTGGGCAATCTAAGACTTTACATTTTTTTTTGCCCTAATAAACTCCTTGACTGAACTGGAAGGGTGTTTTGGGTCAATGTCCTGATCCAATATGAAGCATTTTCTAATGAGTCTGGTGGCATTTTCTTGAATATTGGTAGCCAATATGGTTTTGTACCCTTCCAAATTCATTCTGCTACTGTCATCATACATTAAGTCATCATTAAAATTGAGAGGACCTGTTCCAGAGACAGCTATGCATGCTCATGCCATGACACCACCTCCACCACGCTTTACAGATGAGGATGTATGCTTAGGATCATTTGCAGTTCCCTTTTTCTCCACACTTTTGCTTTCCCTTCACTTAGATAAAGGTTCATCTTTGGCTCATCTGTCTATAAAACTCTGTTCCAAAACTCTACTGGATTTTGCAAACTCTAATCTTGCCTTTCTATGTTTGGTGCTGATCAGAGGTTTGTATCTTGCTGTGTATCCTCTGTAATTCTATGTCGAAGTCTCCTGCGGACAGTAGATTGTCAGAGCATCACCCCAGCTTTCTGGAGGTTGTTGGTGATTTTACAGACCTGTATTTTAGGGTTCATTTTCACAGCTTTTATGATTTGTCTGTCATCAACTACTGTTGTGTTTCTCAGCGGATCAGGTCGTTCTTGGTTGCTGATGTTGCCGGTGGTTTCCTAACTCTTGATTTCTCCATGACCATTGTTTTTGCTATAGCTCTAATTGACTTCCTCTTGTCTTTTAGCATCCAAATTGCTTGCTTTTCTCTCAAAGTCAGCTCCCTCGTCTTCATCCTGGTTTGTGTGTGAATGAGGAAACAATGGATGAGGATCCATTGGATATAACTGAATATCTGAAGAATTAATGCAACAGGACACAGCTGAACACTCAGAAAGACCTGTGAGGCAACTGTTCCAATACGTATGCTTATACGTATACCAGATAGGATGAACTCTAAAAGGGCTGTCCTTTTTATTTGGTAAAATATGTATGTGTTGAAACAGCTAATAATAAATTGTGACATTATGTAGTTTTGTCTCATATTCATCTTTTAAAAATATTTAAAGATTTCTTGACTCCACAGCAAACAGTGCAATTTTGTCTCTACTGTTTCAATACTTGTGGAGGGCACTGCATATATATATATATATATATATATGAATATGAGACAAAACTACAGAATGTCACATTTTTTTATTAGCTGTTTCAACACCAAATAAAAAGGACAGTCCTTTTAGAGTTCATCCCACTATCTGATGTGAGCATAAGTATTGGGACAGTTGAACTTAAGGCAGATGTAAAAGATTAGAAGCTATTATTTAGTTGCAGATCTCTTGTGTGCAATCAGAGCAGCGAGTCTGCGACCCACAGACATCACCAGACTCTAGGTCTTATCCTTTGAAATGCTTTTTTTCCAGCCTTTAATGCAGCCAATTCCAACTGTTGCTTGTTTTGGGAGTTTCTGTCTTTAGCCTCCTCTTCAGACGGTGAAATTCATGTTCAATCGGATTTAAATCTGCAGATTGATTTGGGCAATCTAAGACTTTACATTTTTTTTTGCCCTAATAAACTCCTTGACTGAACTGGAAGGGTGTTTTGGGTCAATGTCCTGATCCAATATGAAGCATTTTCTAATGAGTCTGGTGGCATTTTCTTGAATATTGGTAGCCAATATGGTTTTGTACCCTTCCAAATTCATTCTGCTACTGTCATCATACATTAAGTCATCATTAAAATTGAGAGGACCTGTTCCAGAGACAGCTATGCATGCTCATGCCATGACACCACCTCCACCACGCTTTACAGATGAGGATGTATGCTTAGGATCATTTGCAGTTCCCTTTTTCTCCACACTTTTGCTTTCCCTTCACTTAGATAAAGGTTCATCTTTGGCTCATCTGTCTATAAAACTCTGTTCCAAAACTCTACTGGATTTTGCAAACTCTAATCTTGCCTTTCTATGTTTGGTGCTGATCAGAGGTTTGTATCTTGCTGTGTATCCTCTGTAATTCTATGTCGAAGTCTCCTGCGGACAGTAGATTGTCAGAGCATCACCCCAGCTTTCTGGAGGTTGTTGGTGATTTTACAGACCTGTATTTTAGGGTTCATTTTCACAGCTTTTATGATTTGTCTGTCATCAACTACTGTTGTGTTTCTCAGCGGATCAGGTCGTTCTTGGTTGCTGATGTTGCCGGTGGTTTCCTAACTCTTGATTTCTCCATGACCATTGTTTTTGCTATAGCTCTAATTGACTTCCTCTTGTCTTTTAGCATCCAAATTGCTTGCTTTTCTCTCAAAGTCAGCTCCCTCGTCTTCATCCTGGTTTGTGTGTGAATGAGGAAACAATGGATGAGGATCCATTGGATATAACTGAATATCTGAAGAATTAATGCAACAGGACACAGCTGAACACTCAGAAAGACCTGTGAGGCAACTGTTCCAATACGTATGCTTATACGTATACCAGATAGGATGAACTCTAAAAGGGCTGTCCTTTTTATTTGGTAAAACATGTATGTGTTGAAACAGCTAATAATAAATTGTGACATTATGTAGTTTTGTCTCATATTCATCTTTTAAAAATATTTAAAGATTTCTTGACTCCACAGCAAACAG